ATTGCACATAAAACCAATAGTATATTTTGAATAATTTCTGCTCCAAATAAGGATTTGAAATACTGTTCTTACAGTAGTACCAGATAGTGAGGTAAAAACTTTACATGAATAATTCCGTTAAATTCTAAAAGATGAGATACATACAAACTCAACACCAAAAAAATTCCAATTGAAACTGGATAAATTACTGAATAGATATATACATCCCTCAACATGGATGAGTTTGGAGGACACTATATTAAGTGAAATAAGGCAGGCAACAGAGAGACAAATAACACATGTCATCACTCATATTTCAGAGCTAAAAAGGTTGAACTCTTAGAAGCATAGAGTTAGAATAGTGGTTATTAGAGGCCAGGTAGGGTCGTGGGAAGCAGGATTAGGGAAATGTTAGTTAATGGATACAAAATTAGAGCTAGATAGGAGGATAGTTCTGGTGTTCTATGGCCTGTAGAGTGACTATAATTAATAATTTATTATATATTTTCAAATAGCTAGAAGAGAAGATTTTCAATTTTCGTATGTCAATTACCCTGATTTCATAATTCACACTGCATACAAATATCAAAATAATAGACTGTACCTCATAAATATGTATAATTATGTGCCAGTTAAATATAATAATAAAAGCCAAAATATGAGGCAGATACAAATATTATTTCCGTTTTACAAAGCAAAAACAGAGACTGAACAGCAATTTGAAGGGAGCTCTGGAGCTTCACACGTAGAGAGTCAGGTATGCCTTGGAGTTTACCCTCCAATTGCAACCCGAGGCCCAGGGTGGCAAACAACCAATGGCTGTCGAGTGTAGGAGTGTGAGAACTCAGGTTCCTCGCATCAGATGAGGACAGCTCTGAGATATAACTCACCCTCCAGAGTGGCCCCCCGGATCAGGCTAAAGTCCGCCCTCTGCAGAACTTCATCTGAGATCATATCCTGCCTCAGTTTCCTCCTCTTCCCATTCCTACTTCCCCTCTCTCATGCCTTTACAGATCTTTCCCTAACACTTCCTTTAACAAATCACTTGCATGAAAATTCTGGCCTCTGGCTCTGCTTCTGGGGTACAGTCAGAACAGCTCTGCTGAGCCCTGGAAATTCCTGACCCTCCAAAATCTTGGGACATAATAAAATGACTGTTGTTTAAGCCATGTTTTGGGGTGATTTGTTCTGTAGCAATAGGTAGACAGAACTCTCTGCAACACACCACAGGAAGTGTATGTAGCAGGGATCCCTCCAGTCCTTCCTCAAAGGAATCCAGGGCTCAATTCAACTTGATCAGAATGACATATTCTGCAAAGGAGCTTTCCCTTCTTATGTAGGTCTCCAGCCAACACTGCTGTCTGAGGGCCCACAGAGTGTCTCATCTGCTGATATAACATCACCTTGAGACCCATTCTATGGCGAATGAAATGTGGCAAAGAGTCCATGATGAGGAAAGTTGCCATTCCTACCACAAGCCACCACATTAAGAAGATCCTAGCCTAATGAAGCATGTAACAGTCTATTGAAGGCAAAGCCAAGATTGGGGTACTGTACTTCAGGATGTGGTAAGTAGCATGAAATAGGAGCTATTACGTATGGTGCTGCTTTGCTTTTAAAAATTGCAGATTTAGTTGGCAAAGGCTTAATTAATAGTCATGGTGGCCAGGCAGGCTGGCTCACGCCTGTAATCCCAGCACTTTGGGAGAAAGCTGAGGTGGGTGGATCATTTGAGGTCAGGAGCTCTAAGTCAGCCTGGCCAACAAGGTGCAACCCCATCTCTACTAAAAATCCACCCCCCCCAAAAAAAGAAAAAAAATTAGCCTGGCATGGTGGTGGGCACCTGTAGTCCCAGCTACTTCAGAGGCAGGGGAATCGCTTGAACTTGGGAGATGGAGGTTGCAGTGAGCCAAGATCATGCCACTCCATGTCAGCCTGGGCAACAGAGCAAGATTCCATCTCAAAAAAAAAAAAAAAAAAAAAAAAAAAAAAAAACAGTGTTCTTTTTTCAGTCTTTTGCTCTTACAGATAACCAAAATTCAGGCTATGTTTTTATTCAATTTATAGAGACTCCAGAGTCTAAGTACAAATGGGAATCCAATGGGAGCGATATACAGGCTCAGGAACCAGAGGCAGGAACAGGCATGACCCTGCTCACCATGACTCCCAGTGACCTGCTTATCCCTTTGAATATGTTTTTATAGATTCTTTTATCCCCACCGCACTTCGGTGTACTTTCAGCTGCCAGCAGCTAAGGCTCCTCGTGGGAAATCTGTCCTTGGACTACGAGAGCTGTTTTTCCTACCCATGCAGAAGGCTGAAGGGGACTGAGAGTTTGTGTTCTTCTCCTTTCTTTGCCAAGGCTGCCTGCTGCAGTGTGGGAATATGAAACCCAGCTGTTTTGCTGAAGATGGGACGACTCTGAGGCTGAACTCACACTCAAGTTCACTCACGAGACGGGTTGAGTCTGCGATCTCCTCCTTACGTGGCTTCCTTGCCTTTCTTCTGTTTCAGCGGAATCTGACCTGACTCCCTTGTTTAGGGTTACAAAGTAAATGATGAGGTCAGGACCTAGGTTTGCTGTATTGAGCAAATAAAAATACAGAGCTCCTGCATTTTATCCGGCAATAAAAATAAAATAAAAAATACAGGATGTCCCGCATCTTATATCTGGCAACCCTAGTCAGGACACTAATCCAAGTTTGTCTAATTCCAATACTCATTCTGGTTTATTTATTAAAAAATTAATAAATCATTTTGATTCTGTAAATAACTTCAATGTTATATTACAAAATACAGAAAGTTGTATAGTAAAATTGTCAGCCTTCCTGCTACTCCTGTGCCCAGCCACTCAAGTCTCCTTTTTAGAGGCAATCATGGTAACCTTTTTCTTATTTATCTTTCTAGCAATATTCTCTGTAAATGCAGGCATAATTATATATGCAACTCTGTACCTTGCTGTATTAGTTTAACAACTCATCTAGGGTAGGTCCTTCTCAGAACATGTGGTGCTGCTTTGTTTTAAAAAATTGCAGATTTACCTGGGAAAGGCTTAATTAATAGTCATGTGGATTGTTTTCAGTCTTTTGCTCTTAGAGATAACCAAAGTTCAGGCTATGTTGTTTTATTCAATTTAAAGAGACTCTAAAGTCTAAGTACAAATGGGGATCAAGAACTGAGCAGCTAAGTGCTGCTAATGGCACTGAGGAGAGATGTAGGTCACTCAATGATAAGGCAGAGCAAGAGTTCAATGGTTGCTATGTGATGTTTGAAATTATTCTGCCCCTCATGAGTACGTATACGGGAATTATTTTAGTGGATAAGGATACATGTTTATACCCTATCCTTTACAATGAACTCTATTCCCCCAGGAAACTAATAAACATTTACCAATAAAAATATCACTCACAATAGGGGTGGGAATTCATACACTCTACCTAATTTAATCTGGGAGTCAGTGCATTTTCTTTTTCTTTTTTTTTTTGAGATGGAGTCTCACGCTGTTACCCAGGCTGGAGTGCAGTGGCGTGATCTTGGCTCACTGCAACCTCTGCCTCCTGGGTTCAAGCTATTCTCCTGCCTCAGCCTCCCAAGTAGCTGGGACTACAGGCACCTGCCACCATGCCCGGCTAATTTTTTTATATTTTTAGTAGAGACAGGGTTTCACCATGTAAGCCAGGATGGTCTCCATCTCCTGACCTCGTGATCTGCCTACCTCAGCTTTTCAGTGTGCTCAGATTACAGGCATGAACCACCATGCCCGGCTGGTGTCACTGCATTTTCTAAAAGTAAGTGCTCAACAGTGGAGTACCTGCTGCCAAAATTCTCAAAGACAAGAATGTATTCTAAACGGACTGCTTCTGTGACAAGCAGAAGGGCCTATCCATCAGCAGTACTGCTTTGTGGAAAAGCAGCCTCAGAGAAGGTGGAACCAATATCAGGCAAGTTCCTGGAAGACTGTTTTGCTAATAGCATCTCTAGAAGGGGAGATTCATTACAAATACAACAAAGGGCCCAGTTTGTTCAGGGTCATGATACATGATTGGTTTGGTGGTTATGGGAGGTTAACATGAGCATGTAGTTCAGCACAGAGTCAGGCAGAGGCAATTTCTTACTGGCTGAGAAGATGATGAGGGAGACAGGGTGCGGTGGGGAGGGATGGGTTTGCTTTGCATAAAAGTATTGTTCTAGACTGATATTTATTTCAGGCAACTCTAGTTAGGTTGGACATGGTTCCTGCCCTCAGTAAGTTTACAATGTATTAGACCGACATGGAAACAGAGATGTTATCTAAACAAACACAAGAATCATTCTGAACAGAATTTATACATTACAGTATAGGACACAGGTGATGCATGTGGTTCAGATTTTTAAAATCTCCATGATTCTCTGCTAGTCAAGTATATCAAACTAGGCCCTGAAACAAGTTTCAACAAAGGCAGGCTAATGTAGTAAATAATTGAATTAAAAAGGGAAGATCATGGTTCTTTAACTGCTGTATATCCTATGTTCCCCCTGCAGAATTAATCTTTTCATTCTCTTTAAAAACATTTTTATTACTTAAGAAATTGCTTTGAAATGTTAGATAAGCATGTGGATTTTCAATGTCGTTCGATAGGTAATTTATTAATTGGGAAAAAAACACTACAAGATTCGGCCCCAGAGCTTTTTTATTTTATTTAACATTCTTACGTTGAAATGTCCACTGGCATACAGTAGCAGGTATTTTCTGAATTGTGTGCAAGGTATGTATGCTCTCACAGTTTAATTTATAAGTTAAATAACTGGAATCCAAAACAATCTGTGCTCCTCAAGTACCGTAGAAGAAACTTCTCAATCACAGGATTTTCCTTAGCACTTCCCGAAAGGTGCTGCTGTAAATACACAAACTCACACCACCCACTTGCAGATCGCACTTAAGTACCAGGTAAGGGATTCTTGAGTGAATGAGTGGCTAGAAATGCAAAACCCGGCATTTCTTCTAAAAGCAAGCAAAAAAATAAAGCATCGATTTTTTTTTTCCCTGCATGTACCTGGTAACACTAGTTTGCTTACACTCCTGTTTCTTATTTCTTTCTCTTTCTAGGCTCCTGATACTTCATGATCCTCACCAGGTAAATTCAAGGATGGTAAAAACATTGAAAATCATCTTTGGTTCTAAATCTCTTCACCTTCCCCATCTTTATTCATCTACTCTCTTCTTTCTCACCATTGCCAAACAGGAGTCTTGGAATCAAATAAACCCCAAGCCCAGAGTGGAGGGACTTGGAAGAGTCATTTTTTAAAGAAGTCTGGAAGATATAAATAGAAGATCTTAGATTTTTCAGGACTGCAAGGAACCTTATAGAGGGTTCAGTCCTGTTTCAGGTATTTTACTCTTTCCTGAAATGTGTAGAATTTTTTAAAAACAATTTTCAATTTTGCGAATTCTTGACTCCTTAAGCCTACTCTCTACAGCCTTTGAAATAGAAAATTATTAATCTTAACTTTTAAACCAATAATGTTTAAATATGTAATGAAATAATTATTGTACATATCACATAAAACTAATGTTATATGTCACTGCCTAAATCAAGTTCATGATTTTTTTTTCTTTAACTTTCTTTACTAATTCTCTGGTATATTTTCCTATTTTCTGTGTTCCATAGCAGTGAGAAAACAGATACCATATTTATTTTCTTATTCTCTTGTTCAAATCTCAAAAGGTATAGAACTCAGAACTGGAGAAGCATAATTAGTACGGAAAGTAAAACAAGAAAAAGTAGATACAATAAACTATTAAAATCAAATTCTGAAGCTCAAGGGGACCTCAGATATCTAATAAACTATCTTCATTTTATTTTATTTTTAATAAAAAAGTATTTAATTCTTAATTAATGGAAATTTCAGTTTTACTTTATTATTATACCTTTACAGTTATATAATACTTTGCTTTTTAAAGGCATTATTTTATATTCAGAGGGTACATGTGCAGGTTTATTACATAGATATACTGCCTGATGCTGAGGTTTGGGCTTCTAATGATCCCATCGCCCAAGTGCTGAACATTGTGCCAGATAGATAATTTTTCAATCTTGCCACCTCCTTCCTTCCCCTGTCTTGGAATCCCATGTTTGATGCTCTTATCTTTGTTTCCTGTGTACCCAGTGTTTAGCTCCCACTTATAAATGAGAACATCCTGTATTTAGTTTTCTGTTTCTGTGTTAACTGGCTTTGGATAATAGCCTGCATCTAAATCCGTGTTGGACATGATTTTGCTCTTTGGTATGGCTACATCTTCATTTTATAAGATGAAGAAAGGAAGACCTAGAAAATTTGTGTGACTTGCTCAACGATACACAAATGGTTTATGGTAGAGCCTCTGTTAGGTCCCATTCTCTTGAATTCCAGAACACCACTGGCTGTATGAAAGATCTCAAAAAAAGCTTTAATGCGTAAAACATATTTTTGCCTTTCTTGGTTCCTAAAAACTTTTTTTCTAGTCATTTGGATTCTGAGAACTTGATTTCTTTTTCTTTTTTTCTTTTTTTTTCTTTTTTTTTTTTTTTTTGAGGATAACTTGATTTCTTTTCCTCTTCTTCTTTTTCTATTTGCACAGCAGCTAACTCTAATTTAAACTCTTTCAGCCTCAAAGTTATAGATAATGTGTTATGTATCCACTGAGCCAGTTCAATGCTCAGACAATTCTCAGTGTCTCGAATGGATTCTGGAGTCTCCCAGCATTTGGCTATTTATAATAAGGAAGGGGAGGCCAGGCACAGTGGCTCATGCCTGTAATCCCAGCACTTTGGGAGGCCAAGGCAGGTGGCTCAGGAGGTCAAGAGATTGAGACCATCCTGGCTAAGATGGTGAAACTCCATCTCTACTAAAAATGCAAAATTTGGCCAGGTGTGGTGGCACGCACCTGTAGTGTCAGCTACTCAGGAGGCTGAGGCAGGAGAATCACTTGAACCTGGGAGGCGGAGGTTGCAGTGAGCTGAGACCATGCCACTGCACTCCAGCCTGGGTGACAGAGCAAGACTCCTCAAAAAAAAAAAAAAAAAAAAAAAAAAGAAAAGAAAGGAGAGTGGTATTACAGGCAATCCAAATTAATACATAATTTTTGAGTAATTTCAAACAAATTTAATTGTGGAAATTAATGGCCATGTTAACACACTAATGGAATCATCTATCTTGGGCAAGGCATGTATGCCAGAATGTTCAGAACTTGCTTTTTATGAAAAGGCTCAAACTCTGTAAAATACTTGAAGAGATTTATTCTGAGCCAAATATGAGTGACCAGGGCCTGTGACAGCCTTCAGGAGACCCTGAGAACATGTGCCCCAGGTGGTCAGGGTGTAGCTTGGTTTTATACATTTTAGGAAGACATGAGACATACTTAAGATATATATTGGTTCAGTCCAGAAAGTCAGGGCAACTCATAGAAGGGCAGAGGGCTTCCAGGTCGTAAGTAGATTAAAAATTTTTCTGACTGGCAATTGATTGAAAGAGTTATTATCAATAGAAAGGGATGTTGCAGTTAGGATAAGAAGTTGTGAGGTCTAAAGTTTTGCCATGCAGATAAGCCTCCAGATAGCAGACTTCAGAGAAAATAGACTGTAAATATTTCTTAACAGACTTAAGATCTGTGTTGATGTCAAATGCTGGCCAGCTTTCTCTGAATTTCAAAAGGAAGAAGGGCATAAAAAGGCATTTCCGACCCCTTTTTTCTTCATGGCCAGAACCAGTCTTTCAGGTGCCATGGACAAGGAGAGAGTCCATTCAGATGGCCGGTGAGGGGGCCTTTGAATTTTATTTTTATTTTACATTTCAAAGGGAGGTAACTTAGATAGCTCCATCTACCACCATCTCTACAGCTTATAAGAGCAATGCTGATAAGAGTTGCAGAAGTTCTGGAGTATACTTCAGATAGGAATGGTCTAAGCAATAATGGAATATTCAGTACTGGAGGGAAGTACACAGTAGAGTCGATAGACCTGCAATGAAAATATTTCTAGAATGGACTTCATTGAGAAATGCCAAACAGCTGAGGCAGGAACCTAAAGGAATGAGCACTTGTAATCAGTTCTAAGAATTTTATTAACAGGACTCTTCCTGTTAACATGGCTTATCACTACTCTCCATTATTTTTGTACACACACACACACACACACACACACACACACACACACACAGAGTTTATTTTCAACTCCATTTGATCTATATGTATCTTCTCTCTTCATTTTAGTAGCTTTCTGATTCTCACTGTTTTCAAAGAGATGAGGTAACTTACTGTTTTTATTTTAAATGTTCTACAACTCTTTGGAAATTCTGCAAATTTGTTTGATTACAAAAGATTAAGCATTTTCTTAATGCTTCAGTTTCAGTGTCTTCCTAGTTGTTGTAATATCACTACAGAAAACATTCTCAGTCTTTACTGAAGATGTTTTCTAAGATTATGTTAGTGTGTGGGAAATGAAAAGTTATTGCAAAAGATATGGTACTCTTGTCTCAGCTGTTCTGAGAATCAATGTGGATCCATGCAGACTTGGATTGAGCTGTGGTAGATTACAGAAGTTCTTGAATGATTGTTTTCCTTACTTCTGAATGGAAAGAATATACATGGATGAAGTTCTTCTTCCTTCCCTGTAGATCAGAAGTTCCCCAACCCCAGGCAGTGGACCAGTGCCTGGCAGTGGCCTGCTAGGAACCCGGCCGCATAGCAGGAGGTGAGGAGGGCAATTGAGCATTATTGGCTGAGCACCGTCTCACATCAGATCATTGGCTACATTAGAGTCTCATAGGAATAGGAGCCCTACTGTGAACTGTGCATGCAAGGGATGTAGGTCACGTGCTCCTTATGAGAATCTAATGCCCTAATGCCTGATGATCTGAGGTGGAACAGTTTTATCCCAAAACCAACCCCTTTCCCCAACCCACCTCTCCATCCGTGGAGAGGTTGGGTATGGGTACTGTAGATGGCATATTTCCAGATTCTTTAGAGTCTTTGGCTTTTTAAGGATCATTTTAAGCCTTAAATATTCTGTTTCCTTCGAATTGTTTTTTCTTAAATAAGGGCTCACAGAGCTAGACACCTTTATGGATAAGTTTCATGCTAAAAAGCAGTTTTTCCCTATCCACAATCTTTCCTCCTTCAGACCATTGCCACTTCCTCTTCCTTGACTATCCCATTTCCCAGTTTTTCACCACTAGGTGTCGTAAGTATTCACACAAATGCCTTGAAGGTGTAAAAATAAGCTTTAAGATGTGCCCCTGAATATCTTGACTTTCCATATAAAATCTTGTATTGCTTGGGCTCATGTTACTAGATCACATTGACATGTGATTCCAACTCAGAATAGAGAGTGTAGGAGAAGTCATAAAATCAAGGAAAAACAAAATGAAAATCTTTGTTGTAACTCTGTAGCTTTGAACTTGCAGATTTTGTTCCTGTGACAAGAGTGCCTTGAAAAATCCCTTACATTGTGTTACTTTGTAATAGGGAAACATGTGAGACATCAGAACCCAGTGTTATTCTACTTATTTGTATTTCAGCTGAAAGGGCTGACACATTAAAAACGTTATTTTCAAATCATGGATTTTTAGAGCTAGAGTTAGAAGGATCCTTAAAAATGATCAATTCTAACCTTTCCATTTTTGTGAAGGAAATAATGCCTGGAGTGGTTTCTTCCTTGTCCAAGGTTGGTAGCAAAATTAGACCGCGGACACACATCTCCTTACTTCTAGGCATCTTGCATCTTCTCTGTCATGTTTCTATTGAGATAGACTCATATATATACTTTGGAATAGATTCATGTATCTACTCTAGAATTTTAAGGAAAATGTAGATCATAATATTCCCTAGACTGTGCTTAATATTATAAGCAAAATCTTAGCTCAGTAAGCCTCCTCAGTGGTGAGCTAATGTTAAAAAAATTAGGCACAATGATAAGAAACAATTTTTAACAGATTTTGCAGATTGCGTTTTAATTCAGAATGATGGGATAACTTCCTGTTTGCTTTTCTTTGTATTGAAAGTCAGTCAGATCCACACACATTTTCACTAAATTTTTTTTTAAAAGGAGTTGACCGTATTTGATGAAAAGATATAGTTAATTGATCTCCTAAGTGAAAAAAATTATTATTATTATTGTTCTCACCATGATGTAAAGGAAGTTAGCTTACTCAGTTAGATGTAAAAGCAGTGCAAATATTGTATTTTTAGAATAGCTATATCATAAAATAATTAATTTTAATTTTGTTTGTTTATATCCTTTATTTGTTGGGAGCAGCAGCTATGAAAAGGCCTGGGAGTCCCTGTCCTCTGGTGCTCATCCAATTCCCAAAGGGAGGATGGAATCATGCAGATCCTGTAAGGTCCTAAGAGGGCTCATATCTTCATTTTGACTGAAGTTTCCTCAATAAATCCAGGTGCAGAGAATGCCTTTCGAATAAGAATTTTACCTAATTATGATACTAGATAATTCCTTTGGTGAAATTTTCTTTCCCTTTAAGATCCAAATCAGGCACTTTTCTTCATTCTGACTGAACTTTCCTTGATAAATCCAGGTGCAGAGAATGTCTTCTGTGTAAGAATTTTCACCTAGGCCAGGTGCGGTGGCTCACGCCTATAATCCCAGCACTTCGGGAGACCGAGACGGGTGGATCACGAGGTCAAGAGATCGAGACCATCCTGGTCAACATGGTGAAACCCCGTCTCTACTAAAAATACAAAAATTAGCTGGGCATGGTGGCGTGTGCCTGTAATCCCAGCTACTCGGGAGGCTGAGGCAGGAGAATTGCTTGAACCCAGGAGGCGGAGGTTGTGGTGAGCCGAGATCGTGCCATTGCACTCCAGCCTGAGTAACAAGAGCAAAACTCCGTCTCAAAAAAAAAAAAAAATTTTCACCTAATTATAATACTGAATAATTCCTTTGGCGAAGTTTTCTCTCCCTTTTGTTTTTTAAAGATAATTAGAAACATTTTTATTGTATTTTTTTTCTGGTTTTATTGAGGCATGATTGACAAAGGCTAAATTTTCTTATACAAATTTGAAAGACTGCATTAAAAACTAAGTCTTTGTTCATAACTATAGCGTATGGAAATTATATAAACTGGTGATTTCGAATGGTGTTTGAAATGTTACACCAAAAAAAAGGCAAAGTTAAATAAGTTAGAGAGATAAGGTTGTATGCTTAACACATTTTCTTAGACATTCATAATACTACTTAGCATATCGTAGGCTGAAAAATCCTGAAATTAAGAAACTGAATCAACTGTGTTTAAACTAGCATGTTCTGAGTATAGTTGATCAGAAACTTTTGTTGTAAAATACCAAGTAGCATCTTGTGAAAAACAGGTTGAGAAATCTTGATTGCCAAAATGACATAAGATACTTGCTTGTTAAATCAACTACTGCATGTCTTGCAATATGCAACCCTTCTATTTGATTTTTATTTTACTTATTGGCAGTATCTTAACAACATTCCTTTGCCTCTATGACTACTTTCTGGAAAACAGAAAGATTCATAGTTGCAATATTAAAGATCTAACCTCTACCAAGTTTATCCACAGAATGTTACAATTCTCAATGTCCTGTCAACAGAGGAACTATTTTTTTAAAAAAAATATTACCTTCAATTGTGTTATAAAACAGTCTTTTTACTTGATTTCCTCTAACTCATTTATTTTCTTTTACTTAATGTAAAATTGTTCAATGTCATAGAGTCCAAGGCTATTCACTAAGCATCAAATATGCCTGGACTAAAAATACAGTGGTCATAGTTGCTGGAAGTTGATAGTATGGTTTGTTACCTGGTGGTAGGTGTAGCTAGTACATTCAAGATAAAATACTGACACTTTACTATGCCATAAAAGGCTGAGTGTGTTTGTTTCTAAGGTTGCATGAAAGTTGTACATCCAGATTACCACTGGTAATGGAAAATCAAGATCAAACAAAGTAACCTGGGCTACTGTTTCATAGTATTGTTACAAATTTGCCTTACATCCTGGTACTTCAATAATTAGGTATTCCATAAATCTCATGGAGAATTATAATAATATTTTAATACTACTTTGGATCTAGCTACAGCTTCAGCAATTTGTTTCCCTGTGAGTACTTTCTGCTTATATATCCCAAGAGAGATGATTCATTTTGACTACTTTGTCACCATCCCATTCAAAGAACTCTTTCTTACTAGGCAGAGTTTTATACCAAGTGACTCCAAAGGACATTGACCACCTTCCATTTCAGGTTAATTTGGAAGCTAGTGACTTTGAACCAACTCAATTCCTAACTCCATCAATTAGGTTGAAGAGATACATATGTTATAAATACTAGCTAGTATTCAAGAAAAATACGTGTACTTTCTGTCCTAAAGATAATATAATGAATGTGGTAATGAGAACCCAGATTTTCATGGATGTTTTTTGGTCCAAGGCTTGTCAAGATCTGATTGCCACCTGCTCCTTCAACTGATTTCTGATTACTCTTCTCTTTCATTATTTAAAATATAGAAAGAAAAATAAAGAAATTGCTATTCTCTAAATGTTTCACACTTTTGTTTACTTATATAATTTGTGCTTGCTCTTCTTTTCTGCTAGAATGCCATCCTCTTCCTTTATCACCCAATTAAATTCTTCTCATATTTCTGGGTTTGATTCATGAAGTACCTTTCCCAGGTTATTTTATGTCCATTCCTAGGCTCAAAGAAAATTTTAATGCCATGAAAAAAATTAAGGATGGACAGATTAAGAAGGCAGATAGAAGGCAGGACTAGCTTGCAATTCTCGTTAAGATGGACAGAGCAGCATGTGGAGACTCACATTGTGAACTTTTGCTCCAAGAACTACCACAGGAATGTACCAGGAAAGCTGAGAGAATCCACAGTTTCTTTGAAGGAACTGGATCACTGCTGCAGGCTCCCTGAGATGCTGAAAAACTGTGAGTCTGCTTGCTTTCTCAACAGGAAGGCTCATGGTCTGGTTGAAGTTCTCAGCCCTGGTCACTGGGTGCCTGGAAATAGACTAGGTGCTGTTGTGGGGCATAGTGGGAGTGAGATCAGCCTTTAGGACAGTGGGCTGTGTGGGAATGTGGTGAGGCCTGTGACTACTGACTTTGTCCCACTTCTCTCATGACCTGAATGACTTAGCAAAGGCAGCCATAATCCCTCTAAGACTATTCCTCCTTTGGCCTGGGAACTACATCCCTACCCCGACAGCAGCTGCAGCAAGACACACCCAAGAAGAGGCTGAGTTCAGACATGCCTATCCCTGCTCCCACCTCGTGGTCTTTCTTCACCTCCATGGTAGCCAAAGACAAAAATCATAATGTCTTGAGGGCTCTATGGCCCTGCCCACCATCTGAGAAACCTGAATACTTAACCAGGTGTCCCTAGGGCAAGTTTGCATCCTCCCTATAGGACCACAGCTGATGTGCTCTTGAAAGCACCACCTCCTGGCTGGAGTCCAGTTGACACAAAGCCACACGCTAAACAAAAACACAACCAAGGACCCTCACAGAGTCCACTTCATTCCCCTGCTACCTCCACCAGAGCAGGTGTTGGTATGAATGGCCAAAAGACTTGAAGATGGATCACATCACAGGACTCTTTGCAGACACTCTCCAGTACCAGCCCAGAGCCTGGTAGCTCCACTGAGTAGCTAGACACAGAAGGGCAAAAGCCATCACTACAGTTTGGCTACCAGGAAGCCCCATTCCCAG